TTGGTTCATCAGAAAACACAGAAAGGATCTTTTTTACTCTAAGATTGGTATCTGAAATCAAGAGATTCAAGCTATGTTTTTGGGTGGCAGTCTTTGAGACTGTTTTCTTGCTGGTAAAATGGAGGCAATTATAGTATAAACGTGACATATCAGGGTTAAATTGGATACTGCCTCTAGAAAAATTTATAAAGCAGTTTTTATTAGTCTAGTTCATTTTCCTCTATTCATTATTCTGCATATATTAAGAGATCATAAATATTGTTGAATTTGTTGAAAATGAACTGATATAGTGAAGAATTAACTGATACTGACATTTTCTTTGATTTGTCTCTCATTTTTAGGACCATAGCCATACTCCATGGATTGTGATCGTAGCTAAATATTTAGCACAGTGGTATAGTGAAGTATGTCCTTTTTTCAAAAAGAAATTCTATATGTGACTATGTTTTCAATTTATTACTAAAGATTTCCTTGGAGGGCAATGGGAGAATAATTTTTTCCCTATAGGATTATAGGGTAAATGGATACTTTTAAAATTTAAATCTAGCAGTTCCTCTTTTGATATTGGTATTTATTAATAAAATGAAATTTGAATAAATGTCATGATGAAACTGGCAGTGGGGAATGAATGTAGATAAATGGCCCATGGTTTCTGTTTTCTGTCAGGTGAGCCTCAGATTTCACTTAGGTATATATTTGTTGATGAAATCTCATGTAGCAAATGGGGGAAACTTTGGACTCTCAATTTCCATATTTTGAGTTTTTATAACTAGATTTTTAAAATTTTTAACCAATTTAGACAAATGGACGAATACCTAAAACGTATAAAGAAAAAGAGGACTTCAGAGATTTGATTAGACAAGGTAATATTATGGGATGTGATTAAGTATTGTATAAAGTTTGAAAAGAAAATTGCTTAAAGCAAATGTTTATTGGATTTCTTTTAACAACTTTGTCAGATGATGCCATCTTGAGCTTTTATTTTACTTATCCTCTGGTGAGATTAAAGAGCCACTCCTTGTATAGTTGTAAGAAGAACTATCGATGAACCATGCTTCTTCTTAAGGTTCATTATTCTGATCTTCCCTGCAGAATCTGACAAGGTTATTTCTATAATGTTGGGGGAATAGAGGAGTGAGAAGAAAAGGGCATTTGTTTGCTAACAATTTCCTATTTTAATAGGAATTCTAAAGAATGAAAATGGGGCTCCAGAAGATGAAGAGAATTTTGAAGAAGCTATTAAAAATGTGAACACAGCACTAAATATAACTCAGGTATTAGAAGACTTGCTGAAGGATTTATATAAGCAAGTTGTTTTCTGAAGTCTTCAGATGTGAAATAGTTGATTATAATGATTTATTTATTTATTTATTTTCTGAGACAGAGTTTCGCTTTGTCACCCAGGGTAGAGTGCAGTGGTGTCATCATAGCTCACTGTAACCTCAAACTCCTGGGGTCAAGCGATCCTGCTGCCTCAGCCTCCTGAGTAGCTGGGACTATAGTCAAGCATCACCATGATTGCCTATTTTTTTCTATTTTTAGTAGAGATGGCGTCTCGCTTTTGCTCAGGCTGGTCTCAAACTCTTAGCCTCAAGTGATCCTCCTGCCTTGGCCTCCCAGAGTGCTAGGATTACAGGCATGAACAACCACACTCAGCCTATTTAAGTTAATATTTCCTAAATGTATAGTTATAAATAAATATCTCTGATATAAAATAGCTTGAATCTTATTTTACGATTCTGTGTTGTCCCTGTTAAAATGATGTCAGTGCTTCAACATATGATAGTGATTCAATAATATATAGACATTATTTAAAGTACGTGATTTGTGAATAGTAACAGCTTGGGGGTAGAAATTATATAATGAAGGTGATATTTTGCAGGTCCAAAATGGTGTTGCCTGAAAAGTTAAATTTTGTTACCCTGCATTTGCTTCTGACAGTAATTATTTGGATATAATGGAAGGTGTTCTTAATGACGTTATATACTTTAACAATTGTTTGGAGGATAACTCAGATGCTTTTTGTTGTTAAAGTCTGACCAGTGGGTTGTGGGAGAGCTTTGGAATAACATACCTGATAGTTTAAGTTAGAATTTTCTTATGATTTAAAACAGCAACAGTGCTGCCTTTCAAGTTAGGAAAACACTTAAACTATCATTACCAGCTTTTTGGAGACAATGAGGCGGTGTTGCTAAGTGATTAAAAGTATGTGCTTTGTGAATCAATTTTCTGGGGTGATGAAAATTTTCTGTATTTCTATAGTTAGATGATGGTTAAAAATACAAATGTATAGTTATCAAAATGCATTGAATTGTACATTTAAGGTCTGTGCATTTCACTGAATATAAAATTTACCCCAATTAAAACCAAGGTTCTAGTGGTTGGGGGACAGTAAACTAAACATATAAATGTACCAGTTGCTGTGAACAAAATTAGAGCAGAGCAAAGAGGTAGGGCATGATGGGGAAGAGGGGGTCTGGGGTTGGGAGGCAGTTTTAGATAGGGGGCTGAGGAGACTCCCAAAGAGATCTGCTTAAGCAGAAGCCTAAGCGAAGTGACTTGCAGGTATCTGGTGGAAGAGCTTTTGACGCTGAGGAAGCACACGTGCAAAGGCCCTGACACGGGATGAAGCTTGACCTTTGTTCAAGGATCAGTAAGAAAGCCAGTGTGATTGGAGTGAAGAGAAAAGCGGGGAAAGTGGTGGGAGGGCTTTGAACTTGGAGAGGCAGAAAGGGCCAGACCATAACAGGGCCTTGCATGCGGCCACTGAAGCATTTTGAGCAGGGGAGTGGAATGATCCACTTAGTATTCTAAAAGATTATTCTGACACTTGTAAGGAGAATAGAATGTAGGGGACTGGGAGTGGAAGGAGAGAGACCAGTTAGGAGGTTACCACTGAGAAATTTCTTTTTCCCACACAACAGTAGAATCAAAGCCTACAATTAGTAGAGTTTTTATTAATGTATGATGATCTTGTTAGCAATAAAATTACTTAATTTAACTACTTCGTTTTTGTCAGTGTGGTTGTCTCAACAGTCACTAAAGGGTGTGAGGGTTTCAAATTTTGGACAAAATAGAAGACTATGAAGGACTACAAATCTGGCTTGGTATTAGGGTCTATAACTATATAAAACGATTTACTTGGGCTCCTTCTTTACTTCATTTATGATATAAGAGAATAGATTTTTAATGCTAACAACAGTGGGCAGGGGAGGACTTTCCTCCATTCTTTGTTTCCCCATCAAATCTTCATATGGTGCTGATTCTAAATAAGACTTTAAACAAATGAGAAGTTTATGTTTGACTACAATTTGAGAATTCAAAGAACTTATTTGAAGAGAGAGCATTGAAAATAAAGATGCGGGCTGGGTGCGGCGGCTCACGCCTGTAATCCTAGCACTCTGGGAGGCTGAGGCAGGTGGATCGTTTGAGCTCAGGAGTTCAAGACCAGCCTGAGCAAGAGCGAGACCCCATCTCTACTAAAAATAGAAAGAAAATTAGCTGGACAACTAAAAAATATATAGAAAAAATTAGCCGGGCATGGTGGCGTGTGCCTATAGTCCCAGCTACTCGGGAGGCTGAGGCAGGAGGATTGCTTGAGCCCAGGAGATTGAGGTTGCCGTGAGCTAGGATGACACCACGGCACTCTAGTCTTGGTAACAGAATGAGACTCTCTCAAAAAAAAAGAAAAGAAAAGATGCACAAATTCTTAATACTGTATAACTAAATGTTTTATGTTCCTTGTTAGATCCCAAGCAGTATTGAAGATATATTTAATGATGATTGCTGCATAAATATCACCAAACAGGTAACAACAACAAAAGTAAAAATAGTGCTGCCCAAACCTTTGGGTCAAAATAAAATGCCACATAATTTTAATTTTTTCCTGTTCTTTTAGACTCCATCATTTTGGATTTTAGCTCGTGCCTTAAAGGAATTTGTGGCCAAAGAGGGTCAAGGAAATTTACCTGTTCGAGGTACAATTCCTGACATGATTGCAGATTCGAGCAAATATATAAAACTTCAAAACGTGTAAGTCACTGTTTTTAAACTGTATAACAGACAAAATCTTACATTAAGAGATAAGCATCTTATCACCCTATCAGAAATCAAATGAAAGTTTATTATAACCTTATTGCTTTAAAAATAAGCTAAAGAACTTAGGGAACAGATTTTTTTTTGGGGGGGGGATAGATTTTTGTTTTTTTAGGTTCTAAGCAAAATTGAGTGGAAAGTAGAGAGAGTTACTGTATATCCCCAGGAGGCAGATTTTTTCTTTCGTATTTCATGATAAAACTTAACATTTGATCACTTACTCTGTGCTATGAACTATTCTATATATTAACTAATTTAATGTATATATATAAGCTTCACAACAGCCCTGGGAGAGAGTTACTGTTATTGTCCCCATTTTACAGGTGAGGAAACTGAGGCTTAGAAAAGGTAACTTATTCAGTGCCAGATAATGGCAGAACCAAGATTTGAACCCTATGAAACCCAGCTCCAGAGCCTATACTCTTAGCCATGGCCCTATACTTCCTTTTATTTGTAACTTAAAACTATGAAGGCTTTAGGGTTTTTTTTTTTTTTAGTCAGTGGTGTGATCATAGCTCACTGCAACCTTGAACACCTGGGCTCAGGCAGTCGTCCCTCCTCAGCCTCCTGAGTAGCTGGGACTAGAGGCACATGCTACCATGCCTGGCTAATTTTTTTATTTTTTAATATATATATTTGTAGAGACAGGAGTGTCACCATGTTGCCAGGCTGGTTTCAAAAACTCCTGGCCTCAAGTGATCCTCCTGCCTTGGCCTCCCAAAGTGCTGGGATTATAGGCATGAGCCACTGTACCCAGCCAGGCTTTAGTTTTGATGAATTTTTTTATCATCAACATAATTTTTAGAGTTTATGACTATAGATAGATATCTGCTATGCAGGTATCGCTAACTTGAACCCAGACAGACTGTTGTAGTGATGGGTCTCAATGGATATTACCTCTGTGTCGTTGGGGCATGGTGCTGATGGATCCAGGGCTGTCGGCTTGGTTTCCTCAGGGGCCAAATAATGTCACAGAGATCTCTGTTCCCCAGGCAGATTGTACTCTTCATCGCCATCACCATCTAAAGAATCTTGGTTTGTCGTCCGAGCCTGAGTTCAACTACATAACACTTGGAAAAGGAGAGCTGGCTGTGGTGGCTTGCACCCATAATCCCAGCTACTCAGAAGGCTGAGGTGGGAGGATTGCTTGAGCCCAGGAGTTTGAGACCAGCTTGAGCAACATAGTGAGCCTCCACATCTTTAAAACAAACAAAAAAACTTGGGAAAGGTCAATTGAGGATAGAAATATGACCTTACTTGGGAGGTCAGATTAAACACTGATCATTTGTAGAGGATGAAATGTAAATATACCGAAAGAGAAGTTTTATGTGAATTTGGAGATGGACAGTTTTAATTTAACTTTCCTCAGACTTGACTTCAAGGAGATAAGCTGTGGTCTTCAGTAGGCTTCTCTAACAGAGGATCTGAGAAAATATGTTACTGAGGAACACAACTTACCTCCTTGAATTTCCTTCCTTTTCATGAAAAAATACAGGTCTGACAACATATGAAATGTGCAAATGGCAAGGAAATGCTACCAGCAGCACCTATGAGTGGCTGGGACTCTTTCCAGTGTTGGTGAGAGACTCGGAGCCCACTAAAACCCAGGCTCCCTCTAGCGGCACCCAACTTAAAAACTGCTCTCCTAGAGGGATACATGTTGTCAGACCTGTATTTTTTCATGAAAAGGAAGGAAATTTTTTATTTCATGGTGATGATTTCAATGTTGCTAATTTTAAAATTTGTTAATAATAGCTTTTTGTTCTTTTCCAGTTACCGTGAGAAAGCAAAGAAAGATGCTGCTGCTGTGGGTAATCACGTTGCCAAATTGTTGCAGTCCATCGGCCAGGTAAGCTGCTGGGCACACTGTGCCTTTGACGGCACGCCTCCATCCAGGCCTGAGCACATAACTCCATCCAGAAAGTGTTTAGAGATAGAGGGCATGGCACTGATTCTGTGCTGCTTTAGCGGAAGCCCTCGCTTGCCTGCCTAATGGGAAGGCAAGGTGTTTTTAAAGTGCTCTCCGAGCTCTTGGAGAAAGCCTCCCCATCTCACAGTGATTGGCTTTGTGCTGCACCCTCCGTTAATCTTCTCTTTTAAACTGGAGCAAAACCTGCATTTATCTCTTTACAGGCACCAGAGTCCATTTCAGAGAAAGAATTAAAATTACTCTGTAAGTCCCTTTGAATTAATTTCCTTGTTTTGCTTGATAAAAATGTGCCACAGGGAATGTTCCCAGGAATTTTAAATGGTTGAAATTTTAAATGTTCTATTGTCTAAATGATATAGAGATACATAATTATTGGGTAAGGTTTTTTTCTCTCATAGTATCATGAATGGAGAAAGTATTTTAAGACTGGGTCAGAGGTACAGCATACTTACCTATGGCAATGCTAAAAAGGCATGAAGGTCAATTAATTGAAAGTTGTCATTAATACAGAATTGTTTTCAGCTTTTAAATTTTAAGTAATTTGGGAAATTTTTTTGTCTCAAGACTTTGCGTGTGAAGTTTTAAGTCATATATACATTTACAATATTGGTTTAAATATTCATTTTGATCTGTATTAAATGGCTATAAGAATTTTACTGTCTAGTTTCAGAGTAGTTAGGCTCCTTACAGTCTTCTTAGTAACTCCTCAGTAAGCCAAAAGCATTTTCTTTTATTTAAGAGTCAGTTTCAGAATAATAAAAAAATCTATTTTACATGCCATCTGAAGATTTTTTCCCTGTAGCTACTCTACTGCCCCTAGTTCTTGTAGAATTTTATAGTTTGCATGCTCCCCCTCCTTGAAATAACATTTATCCAAGCTTTCCATTTCATGACTTTTCCATAATGCCTGTTTAGGCTCAGTTATAGGGTTTTGTTCCACTACTAATCTTGAACCTTGTTTCTGCATTAGTGTTTGTTCTGTTAGATTATATGATACCAAGGCCGGACGCGGTGGCTCACGCCTGTAATCCTAGCACTCTGGGAAGCCGAGGCGGGAGGATTGTTTGAGCTCAGGAGTTCGAGACCAGCCTGAGCAAGAGCGAGACCCTGTCTCTACTTAAAAAAAAAAAAAAAAAAAAAAATAGAAATTAGCCGGAAAACTAAAAATATATAGAAAAAATTAGCCGGGCATGGTGGCACATGCCTGTAGTCCCAGCTACTTGGGAGGCTGAGGCAGAAGGATTGCCTGAGCCCAGGAGTTCGAGGTTGCTGGGAGCTAGGCTGACGCCATGGCACTCTAGCCTGGGCAACAGAGTGAGACTCTTGTCTCAAAAAAAAAAAAAGATGATATGATACCAAATTAAAAGTTAGATATTGGTTATTTGAGGGATTATTATTTTGTTCTGTCTACTTTGGGATATGTTTGAAAATTTCCATAATACAAAGTTTTGGTTTTTTTTTTTTTTTTGAGACAAAGTCTCACTGTGTTGCCCGGGCTAGAGTGAGTGCCGTGGCGTCAGCCTAGCTCACAGCAACCTCGAACCCCGGGGCTCAAGCGATCCTCCTGCCTCAGCCTCCTGGGTAGCTGGGACTACAGGCATGCGCCACCATGCCCGGCTAATTTTTTCTATATATTTTTAGTTGTCCAATTAATTTATTTCTATTTTTAGTAGAGACGGGGTCTCGCTCTTGCTCAGGCTGGTTTCGAACTCCTGAGCTCAAACAATCCGCCCGCCTCGGCCTTCCAGAGAGCTAGGATTACAGGCGTGAGCCACTGCGCCCGGCCCAAAGTTTTTTTTAAAAAAAAAAATCCTTAAATGTATACCAAGAGCACAATATATCACATTCTTTCCTTTAGGACTACTTATCCATAATAATGATGAATACTAATATTGAGCCATATCAGGCATTGTGCTAGTTATACAGTTTATACAGTTGTCACATTTGATCCACAGACCGACTCTAAAAGGTAAACAGTATTATCCCCATTTTACACTTGAAAACTGATTGTCACAGAGGTGCCATCACCTTCTACTCAGTGCTGAACTGGTTATAGTGTCACAGATACGAATTTAAGGTGACTTGTGCTCTAGTGCCTTCTCTGCAAACCATTAGAGCCAAATAGAAGACATTTCTTCACATTCCCATGTCTGTGAAGGGTATACACAAAATTTCCTATTCTAAAGTGACCTGTGATTCTGAATATTCACCTGTCACAACCATAAATTCCATAACGTCTTTCCTGTGTTCAGGCAGCAATTCTGCATTTCTTCGAGTGGTAAGATGTCGATCCTTAGCTGAAGAATATGGTTTGGATACGGTTAACAAGGATGAAATTAGTAAGTATACTAGCCATCTGATGCTAAGTTAATTTTAATTAATTTAAAAGATATGAAAATATTTTGTGTATATTAGTGTTGAGTATATAGTGATAATATAAAAGATAATGTAAACATTTATACTCTAATTTTATTCTGTGAATATATCTAAGTAATTATGATTTATGTATTATAAAAATATGTACTTAAAATCATATTTTGGTCATTGTGTCTGTTGTATCATGTGTATAAATGTTAAAGTCAGCATCTTCCTACTTTAGTAGAAATTGTGTGACTCCAGCTAATAGTCCATAGGACCACTGGATTATATTTTAATGTATCTCTTATTTTGTTATTATTTACTATTTTCTATTTTATCATGACAAACATATTTAAAGTTTGTGGTAACATTGTCTTATATCCTGAAACTTGAGTATATAGTAAATTCATACCTTTGTTGTTTATATGTTGTGGTGACTTACCCAAATCATACTGAATTTGTTTTTCCTTTCAGTTTCCAGCATGGACAATCCAGATAATGAAATAGTGTTGTACTTAATGTTACGGGCTGTTGATAGATTTCATAAACAACATGGTAGATATCCAGGTAAGAATAGCAATTGAATTACCAAATATAATAAAATCTTGAATAAACATTTAAATTGAATTGAATGTTAAGGTGTTCTCAGGGTGTCTGTGCTTGAATTTCACATTGTAAACAAATTACATGTAGTTCTCCCCAGAGAGGCACTACCATTTGTTTTTTAAGTAACTGTCTGCAACTAGTATTTTGTTCTAAACTATTGCAGGGGAATGTTGGTTGAATGCTTACAGAAGGATTCAAGCTTTTTTTTCTGTCAGTTCCCATAGCTTGTTACTAAAACTCACACTGGGTATAATTTAGTTGAATAGGAAAGCCACAAGAAGTATGCTAGTGACTTCTGAACTCAGAGCTCTGATGATGTAGAGATTTCTTTGTATAGTATCTATTTTTTATCATCTGTACATGTAGTCATTGGAGAATTGGCATAATCTCAAAGATATGTGATTGCTCAGAATATCTTTATTCTTGATTATAGTTTTAATTTTGCAGGATTATTGCATAGCAACACATTCTAGGGGTGTCATAAAACCTATTGTGCCAACTGATGAAGTACGTCCCCAGAGTTTATAGTCTTAATGAACAAGCTTACCAGAAGGAAAAAAAGGAATAAACACCAAATGTATATTGCTTAATTTGTATTATTAGTATTTGATTAGAAGGTATTTTGATTGTGTATTATAGAACAAACCACCTCAAAACTTAGTGGTTTAAAAAAATAATTTATCCTTGTGATTTTGTGGATTGACTGGCAGTTAGGTAGCTCTCATTGAGGAGTAGGGATTTCATGCAGTTGCATAATGACTGGGGCTGGAGTCATTCTGAAGGCTTGACTTAGACATCCAAGAAGACGTTTCCACTCACGTGACTGGCATCTTAGGATAGTGGGAACAGCTGGAGGCTGATCAGGTGTGTCTCTTCACATGGATAGCTTGGACTTCCTTTTAACATGCCAGTATTAGGGTAGACTTCTTTCGTGGTAGCTGGCTCCTCCAGAGTTAACATTCCAAAAGACCGAGGTGGAAGGTACAAGGTTTTTTATGTCCTAGCTTTGGAAGTCACACAGCATCACTTACGTTGTGTTCTATTGGTTTTTTAGGGCCAGTTTAGATTAAGAATGGGGGGCATTACACGAGGGCCTGAAGGGGATGTTTACTGGGGAGTAATTGTGGGAGACTTTAAACCTCGGTTCCGATCCAAGCTATATCACTTACTATCTCTGTGGCCTTGCGTAAGTCACTAGTTTCCTCCACGTCTCAGTTATCTCACTTATGGAGTGGCCCTAATAGTATCTACTCTTGGATTGTAAGGGTTAAATATACAATGTATGAAAAGCACTTACCACACTGCCTAGCACCTTGTAAGTGCTTGGTAAAGGGTAGGTAGTACTATTATGAGGAAGAGTAGTGATAGTAGTTTTTAAACCAGAGGGGTTAAAAAACGATTTTTTTTTTTCTTGTAATACCTGAATATCGTGTTAATTTTATTTTTCCTTCCAGTAGTAATAATAGCTTACCTTTGGAGACATTACAGTTTAATCATTAAGAATTGCCTGGGCTTATATCCTAATTTTGCTATTTATGAGTTAAATAATTTTGGCTTACCTTAGTTTTGTGGTCTGTGAAATGGGGATAATTGTTCCCACATCATAGGGGTGTTGTGAGGATTAAATTAATATATATAAGGAAGCTGGGTGCAGTGGCTCACAACTATAGTCCCAGCTACTGGAGAGGCTGAGGTAGAAGGATTGCTTGAGACCAGGAGTTCAAGATCAGTCTGGGGGACATAGTGACCCTGTCTCTTAAATATATATAGTAATACTTAGAACAATGTCCAGCATCTATTAATGCTCAGTAAATGTTACCTATTATTATAGCTTTATGTCCTCAGTGTCATTTAGTCTGTTAGAAATGGACAATAAAGACCATAATTTTTTTGTTTTTTAGAGATGGGGTTGCACTCTGTCACCCAGGCTGGAGCGCAGAGGTGCAATCGTAGCTCACTTTAACCTCAAACTTCTAAGACCATTAATCTGTATAAAGGGTATAAATAGGATATTCCTTTTCATTCAGCTCTTTTATCAAATAATTATTGAGCACTAACTATGTGCCAGATACTCTCCTAGACACTGGGTATGAAGCAGTGGACAAAGACTTATCAAACTTGAATTTTTACTAGGTTTTAGTTGGTCTCTTTGTTTATAAGTTTGTGATATTTCCATATATTTGTCTCATACTTCCATTATTTTTGTCTTTAGTTTCATACCTGTTTTGACTACAACACCTGAAACTGGATTAAATAAAGGAAGTAGCCATAATTTTGAATGACATTTATTTTAATGAAAATTTATATTTTTAGGGGTGTCTAACTATCAAGTTGAAGATGATATAGGAAAGTTGAAGTCTTGTCTCACTGGCTTCCTTCAAGAATATGGTTTGTCCGTAATGGTGAAAGATGATTATGTCCATGAATTGTAAGTATCTTTTAGGGCACATAAGAGAGATACCCTGCCTATCCTAAGGCTAATCTAAATGCATGTCTCCATCCTTTCTTGTAGTTGCCGATATGGAGCTGCTGAGCCACACACCATTGCTGCATTCTTGGGGGGTGAGTTCCATACCCAAGAAGACTGTCAGCTGTTGTTACATAGTACAGTTACTATTTTAATATAAGGTTTTGTTGTCTTGGCTATTTTAGCTGTTTTAATTAGGTCAGTGAAGCAGGATGTTATATTAAGTTTAAGATTATTCAGTAGCCCCCATACTGTTCTCCCTGCCTTCCATCTCTCCCACTGCCATCCATCTTAAACTCTTGAAGAGTCATTAATCCTTCTAAAGTATAACTCTGACTGTGTCCCTCAGCTAACCCTCTGCCCCACCAGTACATATATACACCCTACAACAGGCCTCAGAAAACAAGTCCAGGGACCTTAGCTTGACATTGAAGACCTTGTGTTCTGATTCCACTCATCCTTTCTAGCCTTGGTTTTATCAAGTTACTTGGTTTTCCCCCAGAAATGCCCATTGATTTCCTGCTCCTAGATCTTTGCTCCTCTGGATCCATTTGCCTTAAAAACCTCTATTTCCTACATGTTGAAAACCTACCTGTTCTTCAAGGCCTAATTCAAAAATACCATCTTTCATAAAAACTTCCTTTACCTCCCTCCCTTACTTGGCTTCCTCCTTGTCTTAGTCAGGGGTGCTATAACAGAATACCATATACTTACGAACAACAGAAATTTATTTTTCACTATTCTGGAGGCTAGAAGTCTGCAGGGTGCTCCTGTGGTCAGGGTTTCATGAGAGCTTACTTCCTGGTTCAGAGACAGCTCTCTTCTTACTGTGTCCTCACGTGGTGGAATAAATGACAAGAGAACTTGCTGGGGCCTCTTTTATAAGGGCACTAATCCCATTCATGAGGGCTCTACCCTCATGATCTAAGTATCTACCAAAAGCTGCACCTCCTAATACTATCACATTGACCAGGGTTAGAATTTCAACGTAGGAATTTTGGGAGGACACAAACATTCAGTCCATAATACCTCTCCAAAAATATTACTCTCCTGCCTTTGATGTCTCATACACTGAGCTATTTGCTTGTGACATTTTCCTTCTAAGTCATTAATGTTTTGAAGGCAGATCCAGGTCTGATTAATATTCAGAGTGTTCAAGATATAAATGAATGATACAGACCTAAGAAAACTACCTTGTAAGCAAATCCAAATTAAAGCCTGATTCTGGAAAATTTATTTTAAATTTTAGAGACTAAAACCAAGTCTCTTTTGCCGAAATAGCAAAATAAACTGCCAATTCACAGAAAAGGGCAAGTTATTTAATATTATTTATTCATATTCAGTGCAGATTCTAAGAAGAGACACAGCCAAAGAGGTTGGATGACTGCATGTCTTGCCTATATGAGAAAAAAAGTATAAATTGAAGGTTTTTTTACTTCATTTTGCACAATGCCATTATATCCCCTCACTTCAAGGCACCTCTGCGGCTCCCAATGAGGCCATCCTTGACTCCTCTATTTAAAAGTGAGCCCCTTATCTTTCGTATTCATATCACCCTTTTTCTCCTTAGCACTTTTGGTCAATTGAAATACTATACATTTTATTTGTTTCTCTCTCTCACTGCTAAAAAGTAGCACGAGGGTGAATAGATTTCTTTTTTCTTCTACTATATCCTTAGTGCCTAGGACAATATCTGGTGCATAGTTGAGTCTCAAATTTTGTTAATGAGTATTTGGGAAAGAGAAAGCTTCAAGTTACAAAAGATGCAGAATTTTTTTTCTTGGTAATTTTTTGCTTTTTCTTTTGTTTGTTTTGAGTAGGTTTAGCAGTCTAGCAGTATTTAATATAGATCCTTTCTTCTAAGTTACAAATACATTTATATATTTCTCTTTTATTATAAAAGTAAAACAGACATAAGGTAAAATTCAAATGCAGCAAAGGGGTGTCCTTTGAGAATCTTTTATGCCAGTGTGTATCCTTTAAAAAGTTTGATCAACCATACTACTATTTAGATTTCCTTCAATAACATAGTTATAGAGAATTGTAGTCTTTTATTTTTGTTTGACTCGGCAGCAGTCCCCAACCTTTTTGGCACCAGCAACCGGTTTCATGGAAGACAGTTTTTCCACAGACCTGGAGAGGGATGGTTTCCAGATGATTCAAGCACATTACATTTATTGTGCAGTCAAACCTGTCTGCTAATGATAAATCTGTATTTGCAACCACTCCCCAGCACTAGCATCACCACCTCAGCTCCACCTTAGATCATTAGGCTTTAGATTCTCAGAAGGAGCACACAACCTAGATCCCTCACAAGTGCAGTTTACAGTAGGGTTCCACCTCCTATGAGAATCTAATGCCACCACTATCTGACAGGAGGTGGAACTTATGTGGTGACGCAAGTGCTGTAAATACAGATGAAGCTTCACTGGCTGGCTTGCCGGCTGCTCACCTCCTGCTGTGTGGTGGGGTTCCTAATGGGCCACTGACCAGTATTGGTCCTCTGCCTGGGGGGTTGGGGACTGCAGCAGTAAGGTAACTGTGTCTGTTGTGGATTACTATCAAACACCTTTGATTTGGGAAAGAAAAGATTTCTTTCATTGAATTAAGTATTTTTATATAGCTCTTGAAATTTACTCTTCAAAGTTTTGCTTTTCTTTTTTTCCTTGCAGGAGCTGCTGCTCAAGAGGTTATCAAAATAATCACCAAACAATTTGTAATTTTTAATAATACTTACATTTATAGTGGCATGTCACAAACTTCTGCAACTTTCCAGTTGTAGGGTAAGCACCCTGTGTAGCTTATTGATTGAAAATATACTTGCCTTCAGGTTGTGCTTTAGTCTGTAAAATTCTGCTAAAGGAGAGCTGCTAAATTGTTTCCTTAATAAACATTTTTTTCATTTGTAATAATGTAGTCTTGTTCTTTAGTGGGGAGGGGGAAAAGAAGCAGTCATTTTCGCAGAGAATAAAAGCAGTCCATTTCTCACTGAGTTCATTAATACTGGCTTGCCATTTCAAAGTTACTTAATCATAGAAACCTCTTATGTTTCATTAGAAATAGCTTAAAAATTTTTTCTTACCATCTTAATGAATTTAAGTCATGTGTAGATTTTAGCTGTGGACATTTTAGGACCATCATTACTTGTTAAAACGAATAGAATCTAAAAAGACAAATATTTTCGGATGTGTAGTTTTACCGGAAAACAAGACCATCCCCTTGTATGGGGTGTTATCTTAACTTAGGTTTTGCTGCCTACATCTACTTCTTCAAATTTTATGGGGTCATTCCATCCAGTTTACATACTCTAAAATTTCATTTTAAAGAATAATCACATTGGACTAATAGCATTCACCAGCATATCAGAGGACCAAAAAACTAACAAGTAGACACAAACCGAGTGAAAATCCAGAAGTGGGGACAGTGCCCAGTTTCGAGTGGATTTATTTATGGCTGAGGAACGTGTTGCATGACTCTCAGTACCTTAATGCTCCTCAACTGGCTGCTCCTCAGTCTATGAGGCCAGTGTCCCCTAAGCAAGAGCTTGTTAGATTTGCCAAGAGTGTGCTTCACAAGGATTTTTCTTTTTTGGACCCTGATGAGTCAAGCCCTTCCCTGGCTGTTCTTCAGTGTATGAACTGACCTTTCCCACCGCAGGCACTGCCCTTCCTCTCCCAGCATTCCTGTGGGGTGAATTTTTATTATGGAGGAGGCAAGGGACAGGACCGTCAAGACAAGGCTAGGCCTTGGCCCTACTTGACACACCCAGGAGCCCTGGTCCTTTGGTTTAGGCAGGGGGAAGTACACCCGGACTGAACTGAGGCCACCTGGTGTGGAAGGCTGGCTGCATCTGTGGGGCCGGGGTATCCATCATTGGGAGGCCCAACACAAGGCAAAAAGGGCTCGCGCAGGGGACAGGGTGAAATGCGTTAGGAAGGTTCGGGGAGAGGGGTGAGGGACGGGCTGGGGTCTCCCACGCTGCGCGGCCCACACGTGCCTCGAGGCCACCGTCCCGGAGCTGGATGGAGCCTTGTCATCCCCCGGAGCAAACTCTGGGGCGAACGCCCTCGGAGGGAAGGAGGCCTCGAAAACCGGGGGCGGTGAGATTACATTTCCCCTTCAAATTGTGACTTCCCTCCACCTCAAGACCCTTGGAAACGTCGGGGACCAGAGGTCCCAGCTAAGACACCGCGTGGGGGCTTGCGTTCCGACCGGAAGTCCCGCACCAGCCGCACGGAAGTGAGCCCGATCCGCTGGGCCGGAAACCCTGTCAGGCGTCGTGCTAGGTGAGCGGCGAGGAAGAAAGGGCGGGCACCTGGCTTGGCGCGCTCCGGCTTGAGGGTAAAGGCCGCGGCCTCTGCTCCCACGCGTTCGTCGCTGCCTTAGCTTCACCCGGGAACTCCGACCGCCGCCTCCCAGGAGGCGGGTTGCGGTTGGCCTGCCCAAGTCCGCCCTCGCAGCGGCTAGGATGCCTTACCGCTCCTCCGGCCCTTTCTTAACTTTCCCCACGTGAGGGGATGCGTTGAGCTTGGGGAACGGGGGCTTCCCGAGCAGATACCAGACCCCGTCTGCAGTCCTCACTGCCCTTGGTGGGGAGAGAGAATTGTCACATGCCATTTAGTCAGCCGTCTAGAGCCTGGCTGTTCTCGACCCCTGTTGCCCTTGCGAATCCCCGGGTGTCTCCCCAGGTGATTTTGATGTGTGGAAGGGGCGGAAACCACAGGTGAAGTAACTTCTCAGAGCGGGGGTGTTCCGACGTCACCCGCGCGGGGAGAGCCTGTTGAGTGGCTGATTGCTCCGGCCGCTGAATCGCGGGCCTCCGGACGGACCCGCGCCCTGGCCCCTCGCAGGTCTTGAGAACCCTGGCCGAGGAGAGTCTGGGGGGACCACCTGAGCTTCTCGAAAGGAGTTCTTGCTCTTTAGGTGAGCCACGCCATGCCGTTACTGGGCAGAAGTTGAGGAAGTAGGGCGCAGTTGGCCTTCCTCTTGGGAAAGATGGTGTGTTTGTTACCTTGTAGGGTAAGGCGGTGGGATTTATGCTCCAATCTCTTGACTCCGGGGGTGTTAATATTGTAGAGAGAACTGACTCCTGGTACCCTCACTGCGTTTTCTGGGACCCGAATGACTGTTATTTCTCAATCCATTGAAACTATTGTAACAAAATTTGCCCTTTCTCCCTTGCCTTTCCTAGTTTAAAGGACTTTATAATTACAAGCTGGGTATATATTGTCAACAATTTAGTGGTGACAAGAATTAGTGGTGGGATTTTCAGTCCCTCCAGCCTTGCACAGAAGCAGTTTATCGTTCTGAAACTTTGGGGTAATATTTAAATTTCAAAAAGCTCTTGATATTAATGTTTTCTAGGTCAGGTAAAAGAATAATGTCTAGCTAGTTTTCTTACTGAAATTTGAATTAGAGTTAACAGTACTGTTTTGGGGAGTAGACGAGGTAAAACCTGTAAGTGAGATAGGCTTCTTTCTGTTATCTGCAAAAAATCCTTGTGTTTTTACCTGTAAGAATACAGTAAAGAAAAAGAATATAAAAAAGACAAAGGAGGAAAAGAAGGTAGTGTGCGTGTCAGTTTCAATTTACGACATTTGGTTTTAAAAGGTATAAATTATCTTTCTTTTAAAAATTAAGTTAAGGCTGGGCGCGGTGGCTCACGCCTGTAATCCTAGCTCTCTGGGAGGCTGAGGCGGATTGTTTGAGCTCAGGAGTTCGAGACCAGCCTGAGCAAG